GGAATCTGGTTTCTTGTTCTTCTTGAATCATCAAAGTTGAATATGAGATCAGCTGCAGGTAGATTGGCTTCGGGATAGGCAACCTTGGCTTCAGTGACATCCTTGACAAGCTTTACAATATCTTTCATCAAACTTTGAGATATGTCACCCCAGACCGATAATAGAATTGATACATCAATTGATGTATCTTATCCCTGAAAGGAAAAAACTCGCCGTTGACAACTATGGGTGTTTGATTCTCGATTTCGTCCACTTCAGCTTCCGGTTCATCAACAATGGATTCAGTGAATTCAATGTCTTCATCAAAAGGTTCATCTTCGTCCTCGTCGTCTTCCTCGTCACTGTAATCTTAGCATTCATGTTCGTCCTCTTGATGAAACACCATACGATCCAGACTGATGCGAGTAGATCTAGTCAATTCAGGTAATGCAATAAAGTCTGGTACATTTACTTGCACGAATGCCGTGTTGCTTGGGGTAATGGGTGCCTTGAAAGTGAAGGCTTCGGTAATTTTATGTGATTTTTTATGACGTGTAAGGGCGCTTGGATGCCGAAAGCGCTTAACACATTCATTGAAATCGCAACGATAGGGGTTTTCGGTTTCATTGGTTTGTTCAAGTTGAGTATCCATAATTCAGGAAGTAAAAGAGATAGAGATATAGTTTTTTTTTTTTTTTGACTTAGAGGTTTATATGCAAAGGTTTAGACCAGAATTTTGAACTACAGCTATTTCCAGCAGGTTATTTTTGTTTTAGCTTCTTTTTTTTTTCATGTCTTTCTTACCGTTTCTTTAACTTTTTAACTCGGTAAGTTATTTTCTCTTATTCCCTTTATAAACGCTAAAGCTATCTATCTTATAGTTTTTCACTTTTATGCTCAATAGTACACTCATAACTGACCCATCTATGCGGAAGGTATATTGCTAGCACTTTTTTATTTGTTCAAATGAAGACTAAAATTTTTTTTATAACAGATTTAACGCGTAATGAAGTGAGGTAAGTCTATTGCTTTTCGTGTACAAATAACATGCATTAACTTTCATACTTCTTTAGTCAAATACGGATTACTCGGAACGGCACAAGAAATAAGGTAAAGTGATTTTTATTCAACTATTCCAGTATCATTTACTAACTATTTTTTTATAGGTTTGTTGTACGCATCTGGCTATACATGCTCTATAGAACAATGCATTCTGCCTTACAGTCTTCTGGGAGTAGTGGATTACATTTATGCATTTTTTACACCATCCTGAAAGGATTTCCAATAGCTGGCAAAGCTGTATGGCATCCAAGCCATCCATTATTTTTTCTAAATAAAATCTACATTTTAAGCCTATGATTCTATCCAACCAATAATTATTTTTAAACAATTTGAACCATTTTTATTTTGGCAAAAACGGTTCCACCGAAATACAAAAAATTCTATAACCCGACGATTTCCATATTAAGATTAACCAAAAAAATTGAGCTTTGAATGTCCGAATAACTCTATGGGTGTGTATCTTACATAATGTTACAATGCGGATTTCCAACAACTATTTTTTTTGACTTCAAACCCAAAATTTATACTCAACCAAATTTATTTTCTATTAAGCTAACTTTTAGCATTGTGTTGCAACAGCTTATAAACTTTTCCTTTTATATTTTAAACTCATTAGTAATCTATTATCCGTTTGTTCAAGGGTATCGTTACCGATCCTTGCGACAACATACAACTATATAAACCCATAAAAACATTATACTTAAATAAACCATTCAGCTTTTTATCTATATTTATCTTATAAACTCTTACCATATCTTTCCTGTCAATACTTACATCTAACATATAATTTGGCTTATTAGGGAGTGCCAAACATTAAATTTTTTCAAAAATCGCGGGAATTTTATTTCCAAGTTCCGGGAATTTTTTTAGGCTGGGAAAACTCGTCATAAGCCAAATACAGCTCTAGCTTCCCGTTTTCACTTTAAACCGTTTTTCATAAATATTATCTTTTATTTTCAACTTTTAAAATGCCCAAACAATCTACTAGACAACAAACTTTGAACGAGATGAAGTCTTTGCTTAAGCACAATGTTATTATTGAAAATGAAGAAGAAGCGGAAGAGATGCACGAACTCTTGAGTGGATTAGAAACGAAACGTGTTCTCAACAGTGAACCTGGCATTCCTAAACTGGACCAGTATCGCGAGTATTTCCTCGAGTGGAATGACGAAGAGTTTGTTATGATTTGTAGAATGAATAAGAACTCGTTCTTAAAGCTCCTTTGCTTGATTGAAGGTCACGCAGTCTTCAACAATCACAGTTTCATTCCTCAAAGGCATGTTCACGTTCAACTTGCAGTAACCTTAAGACGATTAAGTCGCGATAGAACTGGTAACAGCATTGAGCAGATTGCAACTTTGTTTGGAATCAGCAAAGGCTCTGTCACTGATTACACCAACCGCTGTTTTAAGGCAACCACCGACAACCTTAAACACGTGATGAGCTGGCCTAACAAGGAACAAAGAGAAAGAGCAGCTGCAGCCATCAAAAAACAACACATTTTTCGTAATTGTATTGGATACATCGATGGCACCCATTTTCGCCTTTCTCAAAAGCCTACCGACTGCCCCGAATCCTATTACAATAGAAAGGGGCTCTATTCTGTGAACTGTCAGGTTGTTTGTGATGAACGAAAGATCATTTTGGGGTTCCAATCAGGACAAGCCGGATTGATGTGTGATGCCACATGTGTAGAGCATGCTAGCTTCATGATTAATAGAGAAGCCAAGTATTTCACATGTGGCGATGCTGCAAGCCATGAGTACCTTCTCGGTGATTCCGGATATACTCTTCATCCATTTGTGCTTACTCCTTACAGAAGACCCCAGGTTGTAAGTTCGGTGAAATGCGAAGACTTCAACAAGGTTCACTCTTCCGCCCGAGTTGCTGTTGAAAATACCATTGGTGTATTAAAGGGCAAATGGAGAATCTTGGAGAACATTTCGATTCAGATCAATTGTGAGGAGGATATCATGAGAATACATGAATTGGTACATGTATGCGGTCTTTTGCACAACTATTTGATCTTGGAAAATGACAATTTTGACGGTGATTTTTATGAGGATGTTGACGTTGGGCAGTCGAGATTAGACGTGGTGTTGCTGGAGTCACTTGACAACGTCAACAGTGTTTCCAGCCGTATATTGAATACTTGGAGGGATTCCGTTGCTAAAGTAGTTTTAGCAGATTATGCAGTACATTTTGGATATGATAATGATTAAACCAACTGAGTTGACATAATGTGCATTTGTGTTGAAAGGATTGGATTGCGTTCTTGCTGTGAAGGTTTCTGAACAATGAATGAAATATATTTGTAGGAGAAAAAAAAACTTTATTTAAAAAGAAAAAAAATTAATCTACATCTGTTGAAGGATTACCGTCGTCGTGCTCATCTTCATCATATACATCATCATCATCATCGACAGGATCCCTCAGAGATCTACGAAAATCAGCAAGATGTCTGGTAATTTTCGTAAATGACGATGTATTGAAGGCGTTCGTTGTCAGACAAGTAACAAGCAATTGGGACATACCCAAATCGAACTCCCTCTGACTATCTTCCCTCAATACTTCGTCCCTTCTCAACTGAGCCTCGCGATACTCAGAAGAAAAGTCTCTTTTGATCCTCTTGTTTCTCATGGCGTGATCGGGATCAACACGGATGCGATCAGCTGTTGGCATTTCAGGATGAACGGTACCAGCGCAACTTACACCTCCACGACTAAGACCACGAGCAAGACCACGAGCACGAGCACGAGCACGAGCACGACCACCAACACCAGCCCCGCCACCGCCATGAACACCAGCAACACCAGCACCAGCACCAGCACGAGCACCACCAGCAACACGAGCACCACCAGCACCACCAGCAACACCAACACCACCAGCACCACCAGCAACACCAGCACGAGCAGCACTACCACTGTTGACATCGTTGTCATGGTCCACAGCATGATACGACCCAGCATCATCAAAATCTCCACCATCATCAAAAGAAAAAGAACCGAACAAACCATTCTCTAATGATAATTCAAATAATGGTGTACGACTTGATGGCTGGGTATTAGATGGAACTAACAGAGGAGAAGAAGCAACATCGGTAGCTGGTACTTGAACAGATGACGGCTGGCCAGACGAAGCATCACCAAACACTGTGAAACTTTTTATCGGTCCAATTTTTGAAAAGATTTTGAAAAAGTTAGACCGGCGGTCGCGGTCCAAAAATTGGACCGATTATTTAAATAATCTGTCAAAAAATTGGACCGATTTTTTAAATAATCTGTCGAATTTTTGGACCGATACTGACGAGTACAAGCTATAGTTTCAGCAAATAGTAACGTAGTAACCTTATTATTTAAAAGAATGGTATTGGCTAAAAATACGACTAGCGTACACATTTCATGGGTTGCTACCCTTGCACATATTGAAATTTAGGATTGTATATATTGAAAAAAAAGACTTTTATTTAAATAAAAACACGAAGAGTAGTTATAGATATTGCAGAAAAAAAAAACGGTGTAAACCCCATGCAGATCTATACAGACTAACTAACAGGGCAGACTACTATTGTTCAAAACGAAAGGACACGGCCAGGAGTACTTACCTACGAATAATAATGTTAATAACAAGCACACATGTTGTTATGATTATAATACATACCTTAACAATAAACCAGTGGACTTGGCGATGCACTTACCACACCATACGTGTATAACTATGGTTAGAATGTAGTTAATAAAATGGATAACAAACAGATAATAATATTATAATAGTAGCGTTTACCTTAAAGGATGTCGCTTATTTAACAAGTGCTTGAATAGACATGATAAAGATATACCTTTTACAAAAAACTATATATCGTGTTAGTTTTATAGCTGGCTCAAATACAGTATGACTGAACATATTAACATTTATAGACTTACTATTATTTTTTTATTTAAAGAAAGAAGAAAGAAGAAAGGAGAGAGAAAAAAGAAAAGAAAAGGAAAAAAAAAAAAAGTTTTAAATAGGGCAAGTTAAAACTCAGAGAGAAAATAATTCCCCACCTAAACTACGAGACCCTCTTGGAAGGCGCTTATCTGGCTTTTGTTTTGCTTCTTTGGCTTTTCTTTTGTTATTCTTGCTATTTTTGTCACCAACATCCAAAGAGACAGGCACAGAAGTAGAGGCAGCAGACGAACCAGAAGGAGTAGATGAAGCCATGGGGCCAGAGGGGGGTAATGACAGTGAAGGAGATGGTAAAGAAGGTGAAGGGGGAGGTATGACTGGAAGCGAGGAAGATGTCGGGGGAGAGGTAGATGCGAGAAATTCAGAAGTGGGAGAGGGTACTGATGTGATTGTTGGCATAGATGGAGTAGGTGGCATAGATGGCGTAGATGGAGTAGGTGGTATAGATGAGGTAAGTGGCATAGATGAGGTAGGTGTGGTAGGTGTGGTAGGTGGCATAGATGGCATAGATGGAGTAGGTGGCATAGATGAGGTAGGTGTGGTAGGTGTGGTAGGTGGCCTAGAAGGAACAGAGAAAGTTGGAACAATTTCATCGTTTGTGATCGAGTAAGCTTCCATCGGAATATCATCGTAAGCATTGTCATCCGTGGACATGGTACGCGTAAAAGATGAAAGAGAGGGACCAGAGGCATTACTTGAATTAACACGGAGGTTAGCCATACCACCCAACATCGATCCGGAAAGGGGCTCAGGAACATTGTCAAAAAGATTGTGATTAATTTTGCGCTAAAAAGCCATAAGGTTAATTTATAGATAATTCTTATAACTGTTAAATTTTACGTACATCTTTTTTTTTGTTCAACAATAAAGACTTCACCATCTCACAAGCGATCCAGTTTGCGTCTGCAAGATGCAATGGAACCATTGGTGTATTAACATCAAGATCAAAGATACGACTGGCAGCATCATCCTCAGGTGGAATCCCTGAATCACCAGAGCGTTTGTTCCAATAGTAGACAATGCTTTCAATCATATACGTAATCTCTTTTCGTTCATGCTTATTAAGTTTCTTCCAATTGACGCCATTAACACCAAATCTGTCTCCGAGGTATACAGCCAAAAATTCTCGACAAAGATGATGAGTATTGTGATACGCCTTTTGAGCTTTACCCTCTAAAGCCAACAAAGCTTTATTGTTGTTTTCATAATTGACAGAACCATCGAGACCTTTGAAATATTTTTTTGTTGAATCGATAACGAGCTGGACCGTGTAAGAGGTGTTTGGCTTTTCGATGGTTCTCCTACCCAAATGATTCATGTTGTCATCAAAGCCATATTCAGAAAACTTTGCTTTGTAATAATCCATGGCTTTTGTGATGGTTTTGCGAAGTTTCATTGCCACGGCTTCCCTTGCTATAATTTTATAAAATGTAAGTCTTGTATTTAATAAATGCGTAACTTTTTTTTAAATCCGAAAACGTTACCATCTTTTTCTTGGGTAGATTTTGGGCCAATATCGGTCCTGTTACTTGATCTTGATGCATTCTTGATACGGCTGCAACAATCACAATGTTTACCTTCAGGCAAATGAGTATGTTCTTTCAACAGCTTGGGAAAAATAGAACTAACAACCTCTTCAACCATTGGTCTCATTAAATCAACGATTTCTTGAGCGTTAAACCATTGAGAAGGCAAGGAGTTATTTGTGCTCATTTTTAAAAAAATAGATATGTATCTGTAGAAAAAAAAATCAAAGTAACAAGGCAATTTATATTCTGTCACTCACTTTTAATTCATGTAGTCCAGTCAATCTGCACCAATCACAATCCATGCTTCGCCTGCCAAAATGGATATGATGTCATGTAACACACTGATGTAATTAAAATAACCGTGGCCTGATCATTTCGACAGGACTTGTCACTGGATAAGGAAATAGCTTAGCATGTCGTTTCTTAGGAACCAACAATAAACAGGATTGGTTTTGACAAGGACTTGTAGCCAAAAAGGAAAAGTTGCGTGTTTCCTGCTGATAATATATGATGTAAGCGATTTTAAAAAATACATAAATAGCTCCCCAAAAAAGTGTTAGATACTTCCTTTCATCAATTACTTTAATCCAAATTTCTTTAATATATACATGTCGTCCCCAATTAACAAAGTCCAAAAAGCTAAGACGAATCGTGTCCCCAAACGTGGCATAGCCGAACTTCTCGTTGGAAGTATGGCTTCTTCCCGTAATGCCCCTATTACTCCTGCCATCACTACCGACACTTCTGATACTGCTTCTTCTTCTTCTTCTTCTTCTTCTTCGTCCCTATTCCCAACCCGTGACACCTCTGGTGCTGCTGCTTCTACGGATCCAGCTGATAATATGGATGTTGATGTCGAATTTCACGAAGATATTAGCATGGTTGATATTGATTCTGACGTTTTGATCTTGCCACGCGAAGAAGAGATTCGCCTAGACGAACTAGATCACGAAAAGTTTTTGAACGGTGGATATTCTGATCCGGATTCTGACAACGAAGGTGTGCTTGAAGAACTTCCAGAATTTAACGATTTCGCGACAGATAACTCCACTGATATCGAAGAAAATTTAGAAGGTATGTCATTAGATGGTGAAAATTTATTACCTTTGGGTACATTACCTAACATTACCTGAAAATAGTTGTATCTGTCCATTACACCAATCAAGAAGGACCCATTATCAAAAATGTTGTTATTCCTGACTACCCTTTTACTCAAAATGATCTTGATAGCATACAGTTCAACTACATTTGCATCAACAACAACATGACGGTGCAGGCCGTAGCCAACATCAAGTCATTCGTCGAAATGCTAGTAAACAGAAATAAGTCGCGTAAGTAAACCATTTCCCGTGGCCTCAAGTAAGCTTATTTGTTAATCCAATCTACCTTACATTAGAATTATCTCCCAAAAAAAGAGTACCTGCATTGAAGGAGTGTATGGCCATGATTAGAAGGAAAATACCACTGGATTTTGTTCGTACCCATGAAGTTTGCTCCGCTAAAGGCTGTTATCTTTTCGATTCTGTTGAAGATGTCACATTAACGGCTTGTCCTGAATGCGGTGCTGCCAGAAGTGCGAAATCTGTTGTCAAAATGGTAGATATCGGGGATCATTTGAGTAAGATGCTTGCTTGTGATGGATTTCGTTCCGAGGTAGAGCAGTATAGAGATGTAATCGATGCCATGACAGAAGATGATCCATATACCGACTTTTTTTCAGGCGCTGCTTACAAGGAACTCCGTCAAAAAGGTTTATTTGAAAATAAGCAAGACCTTGCCATTGTTCTCTGTGTGGATGGGTTTACTTCTAAAGTTTCAAGACAAAGCATGGTGATGGTTCACGTAATAATTCCAAGCATCGATCCTTCCATTAGGTATTATTTCAAATATATATAGTCCAGGTCCTAAAATTAATACTGATATTGTAATGATTTTCCCTATAGGTATACAGATGAATATACGTTTCAAGTAGCTATCTTCTATGGAGACACCAAAACCAATTTTAGTTCGTACTTACGGCCTATAATCAGCAGTCTCGATACTTTGAGTACAAACCCGATTGTAGTTAAAAAAAATGGTGTTCATGTTGCTACATCCAAAGTTTTTAATCTTGGTGTGATTGCTGATGGCGTTGAGATCAACCAGCGTTTGTTGATGTTTGGTGGTCATACAAGCACGTATGGGTGTAGATTCTGCTTGGGTAAGTAAACGAGTCCTTACAGAATACGAAAATCCGTTGACATTTCTCTTATTCAAATTAGTGAAAGGAGAGCGCCCAATTGATGGTGGAAAACTTGGCAAATATTTTATTGACAGAACTTCGTCAATCAGATCAAAGTCCTTGTTGCTGTTGGAGGAGGATATTGTAAGTGCTCCATTATGAAATCATCTACCAATACTAAATATATTACCTCTATAGCCTGCCGAATTCAACAATTACGCGATCAAAAGCCCTACACCATTTGGACGCTTAAACACCTTTCTGTCGATTGATTTTTTCATGTGTGATGAGCTTCACATGTTCTCTAACGTCAGCAAGCTCTGTTTTGACATTCTTTCTCCTCGTTACAACGACCGTTACAAGTTTGCTGGTAGAGAAGATAAATATCCATTTTGCCTTTCTTCTGCCGAATTTATAAAAATCAAACGATCCATGGATGACTCTCGTTGTAATATTCCCTCTGACTTCAATGGCTCCTTCCAGGGTATTGTCTCTGAAAATGCTCGGTCGATGTATCGATCTGTCGATTGGATTGCCTGGCTGGTTTACGTGGTTCCCACTCTGATTGCATCTATCTTTGGTAGTAGGAATACTGCTGGTAGAAATACTGCCTCTGCGTTGATTTCCCTTTCTCGTGGTGTAAAACTGAGTTTGCAGTGGTCCATTAACAAAGATGATCTGAAAGAGATTGAAAAGTAATTAGTCAATTAATCATATATTTACCAAGCCTAACCCTTACTAACCTCCAATGTCATTAAGATCTTTCGATGACTGGTTCAAGTATCTGGACAGCTGCCTAGTATCTCAGACCATTTCTCGCACGATCCTCAAGTACAATATGCATCAACTGCATCATATTCCTTACATGATCAAGCGAATAGGGTAAGCTGCCTTTACCAATGGTTATTAACTGTATAATATTTACTGACTAACTTTCTTTAGGCCCCTTAGATGCTACTCAGCCAGATCTCTCGAAAGGTCCATTGGAGCTTACAAAAAACGAATCAGATCAACGATGCATCCAGGTGTAAATGCTGGTAATATCATGGAAACGCGGGAAATCTTCAAGTTTTTTCAATTGTCCAAAATATTTGACTTTTCTGCCTTGACTGCTGTTGCCAACAATCCCAATAACTACATGTCCCATCCCAACAATGATCCTAATTCTCCTCAACTATGGTCTCCTTTCCATGTGTCTGATGCGGGTTCATTGGTTGTACTCAATTTGGTCCGAAAGCTGACATTGGACAAGACTAGTTGTATCAAAGGTGACATTCGTACTCTTCCTTGGTTGAAAGCTTTAATGGATTGTTTAAGTCGAATGGTTGGTTCAAAGCAGGTCAATATCCCCAATTGTTTTCTTCGTCAAGAAGTGATAATTTCGGCCAAACTGTTTTTTGACAACCAGGTGTACATTTCTTCCATGTCAAAAGAAAAAAACAAGTCGAGCTCTCGTGGTGGCGAGTATGTGATGTTTACTGCTGTTCATAAAAATAGGTAAGTGGTTGTTGTTGTGTTTCTATTGTGTGTATGCTGAATTTCTTTTAAACATAGTCGTTTCTCTTCGGTATCCAACTGGTATGTCTGCAAGGTCCTTTTCTTCTTCAGATTCCAAATGTTCGAGGAAAGACAGGGGTCCCATTACGTGTATGGTGAGTTGATGAGAACTCATGGTGTGTCGCCATACTCTAAATCCGTTCCTCGTGTCCAACCTTTCAACGGAACCGACAAAAAATTCGTGGTTTTTGACGCTGAGGATATTGTTTCTGTCGTTGGCTTATTGAAAGAAACTGGTGATGAATCTACATTTCAATATGTACTTCGAACTGGTGATGCCTTCGAAAAGGACATGTCTGCTACGGCTGGCCAAGTAAAAAACATTGTTTTAACTTGAGCAAAAAAATAAAAATAAAAATTGAAAAAGGAACGAAAAAGCAAAAGTTGAACTTCAGCACCACTAGAGGAAAAAAAATTTTTGTCGTGTAACAACAAATGTACCCTCTCCCATTCAAACATTCACTTTTCGCTTATTACTTCCATCAATATTAACTTTATAAACTTTTTTTTCTTATCAACTATAATAAATATGTCAACAAGCATCATTTCCCAACTTTTAATTTCATTTTTACGGTAGTTTTTCATTTTTTTAAAAATCGGTATCGGTGCAGTTTTTAAAAAAGACCGGCGGTATCCGTAATTTCTAAAAATTGCACCGATACTGGCGGTATCGGTCCAAAATATGTTTAGACCGGTAAAAAGTTTCAGGGTGAAAAGCAGGACGAGGGAAAGAGAGAGGTTTGTTTGAGAATGGCCCAACAGAAAAAAAACGGAACGAGGAAGAAAGCTCAGTAGACACAGGTGCAGCAGACAAAGACCTAGCAGCCAAAGGAGCACGAGAAACCAAAGGAGCACCAGCAGTCAAAGGAGCATCAGCAGTCAAAGGAGCACCAGCAGCCAAAGGAACACCAGCAGCCAAAGGAGCACCAGAGGAAAGAGAAGCAGATGATCTTGTTGAGATTCAGCTGCATCACTTCGAACCAACAATCGACTGACCTCTTCAATCGCCTCTTGTTGACCACCAAAAACTGCAAATGTTTGTGCCTCAATTGCAGCTAATGATGGCCTTACTCTGTTGCAGTATGTGTACTCGGTACCACCAGGGGCATGATGGAAAGCCACACAATAAGGAGTTATGTTTGGTCTAACACCATGCAGAGCAGCCAAACGAGAAAATCCAATACACAAATGTTCACACTTGATCTCGATGGAGGTCAGTCCACCTTTAATGTCATCTGTAGTCAAGCCGAAACCGGTAGAGTTCATATCTTTTTCTATATCGCGGTACTTTGCGAGTTGGCGTTCAAAACGTTTTCCAACCGATTTGAAATTCCAGGAAGACGGAATTACTTTATCTGCCAGAAGTTGCTGAAAAAATCTCTCAATGATCTCTCTTTTTTTTATCTGACTACCAGCTGAAGGAGCGGACGACTTTTGTCCACCAAGATATATCTTAAAAAGGTCTTGATTACTCTCAAAGAGACCAATCATAGCCTTAATTTGACCGGGTGTAGTTTTGGTTCTATCAAGGCTTTTATCTGGGGAATCGTTGTTGGAAGGACCGCCACCAATGTTTCTGTTTATTTGATCACACATTTTAGATTATACGTTTTAGAGAAAGTTAAGGAGAAAAAACGTAAGTTAAAAACTTAGAAAAACTTTATAATGCAAACACAGATGCGATTGGATGCTTTTAGATTATCATAAAATAAATAAAATGTAACATTTTTACGTCATATTTCTTTCTCAATTGAAAATGAGTATTCTTTCCCGAGATTTCTCGGGAATACTTTTTCTTGCCCGCAAAATCTCGAGCACAAAAAATCGTTCCCACAAAGTTTAGAGCATCCCCAGCGGTTTGCTAAATTTTTTTATAAATTTATTATTTTTTGTTATGGACAGATTTATTATTTTGAAATTTCCACAGTCGTTTGTTAAAAAAAAAATTAAATTTCGGTGCCTGTCATATAATTTTTTTTTTCACTTTTTTTCATTTTTATTCACGCAATGTCTACAATGTCGACTTTCGAAAGACCATTTGGCAATGACCCTGCAGAGGATTATAAAATTCATCTTACTGCTATGAAAGGTTTTTTAAGGGTTTTGAAAAAAGACAAAAAGCAAAAGCCTCGTGTTATCAAAAAACGCCGAGTTGTCCAGAGAGGACGTACAGCAGGACTTGAAAAGGTCATGAACGATTACTTTTCGGAAAATCCCGTATATTCCGACGCTGTCTTTCGTAGAAGATACAGAATGAGGAAAAGTCTCTTCTTCCGAATCACCGAAGCAGTGACAGCTCATGATAGTTACTTTGAGCAAAAGTATGATGCGACCAACGTCATAGGCTTTTCGCCAATCCAAAAAGTAACAGCAGCCATGCGTCAACTTGCTTATGGATTAGGATCAGATGCAGTTGACGAGACTTTTCTCATAGCCGAAACAACAGCCCGAGAATCCTTAAAAAGATTCGCACATGCTGTTGTGGCTGTGTATAAGGAGGAGTATATGAGAACTCCTACGCAAGAGGATGTGGATTGTTTGTTGGCAATCAATGAAGAGATAGGCTTCCCTGGTATGCTTGGATCCATCGATTGCATGCATTGGCAATGGAAGAACTGCCCAACTGCTCATCATGGGCAGTTTACTGGTAAAAGTGGTCGACCAACCATTATTTTGGAGGCTGTAGCTTCTCAGGATCTTTGGATTTGGCATTCCTTTTTTGGTCTTCCTGGTGCCCTCAACGACCTCAATGCCCTCCACCGGTCCCCGATTTTTGCAGGCCTGGCCAAAGGTGATATGCCTGAAGTCAAGCTCACGGTCAATGGCAATACCTATTACAAGGGTTACTATTTGGTAGATGGCATATACCCAAGATATGCTACTCTTGTCAAAACCTCGCCAAACCCACAGTCGCAAAAGAAAAACGTAAGCCATGGAAAGTTGGATTAGTATATCTACTTCGATTTAACGTGTTATATGGTAGAACTTTGCAAAGACACAAGAGGCGGTTAGAAAGGATGTACAACGGGCTTTCGGTGTCTTAAAGGCACGTTTTGCCATGCTCCAAACACCCTCTCGGCGGTTCAAGGACCAGGATCTACATGCAATCATGAAAGCATGCATCATTTTGCATAATATAATTGTTGGGGATGAGCGTGGATTGGATCTTCCTCTTTCTTACAAACCCCATTCCTCTCCTCCTCCATCGTCTCGTCAGAATGTGTCATTCGGTGAGTTTGTTGCCAAGTTTTTTGAGATCAGAGATGATGATACACACGATCAGCTTCAATCCGATCTTATTGAACATTTATGGCAAAGACGAGGCGACATGTAGATCCCTTTATATGTATAAAACCCCAAATAAACTATTTTTTTAAAAAAAAGAAAACCAATTTTTATTTTTAATCATCTTCGACCAAAACCGATTCCTCATCTTCAACCAAAACTGGTTCCTCATCTTCAACCAACATTGGTCTATCTTCATCGACCAAAGAGTGTTGATCATCATCAATGGTTTCGATGATGGATCGTCGATGGGACTCTGCCCTCGCCAAATCAGTCGCCTTCAGACCTTCCAGGATGCTCAACTGCTTTTCCTGCACATAATCCCTGTAAGGTCCGAAGGAGATGGTTGACAGATCCACTAGGGGCAGGGCCTCTGATACGACTATCAGAGAACCCACAAAACTTGTTGACAGCAGATGCGATTGTCGTGAATCTGTTCTGGTGAGAGTTTTCTGCTCTCTCAGTAACAGGAATGTTGTAGACTTTGACGAAGTTAATCGCAAAGTCTTCTTCTACAGCCTTCCAAAAGTCAGGACACTTTTGGTCGTTGCCCTTAATTGGGTTGGTTGAGACTTCAACCCAAGATTTACACAACTGGGTGTCTTCTTCGAAGGTCCAGTTATTGCCACGGGCACGCTTATTACCCTTGGGCTGTTCCTTTTGCTTTTGCTTTTGCTTTTGTTGTTGTTGTTGATTCGACATTGTTATTTTAAAAATTTATCGGGAAAGGAGCAAAAAAATTAAAAAAAAGTCAGATTTATTTATTTTTTAGAAAAAAATTGATCGTTTACAAATTTAGCTTTTTTTTTAACAAACGGCTGGAGTTTCATTTTGTTTAAAAAAAAAAGCCAAATTTAATAAATTTAGCAAACCGCTGGGGATGCTCTTAGGGAATTGGCTGGGGAAAAATTCCCGGGATTTTTTTTTAAAAATTAAGGAAATGATTTTTTAAATGTTTGGCGCCCCCTAATCACTATCCAGATTGTATCAATAACTTAGGATCAGACCCTTGTCGGAGGACACAATAGACAATTATATATTTCTTATTCACACAAAATAATAAAGATCATCTTTTATCGACTACTCTACTTTTCTATACATATATCACTTAACTTTAGATCAGACCCTGACACCCTTGTCGTGATAGTTCTTATAATATTTTAGTATATAAAATAAATGTAGAGTAGATAAAAGATAACTTTATTTGATTTAATTATTGATTCTATTTTATAGATGAGCGGAGGTGATATGAATTATAAGTACGACACCCTTGTCAGAAGATTTATAATAGATATAGTTATGTAGACTAGTAATGAAGTAGTAAAAAGATGATCTTTATTAAATTGAGATTCTGAATAAGTTTTATAATTGACACGGAGTTTCTACTAAAATAAGTGTGACACCCTGACAACGCAGTCACGAAAGAAACAAAAAAAAATTCCGATCTACCAGAGTCGAACTAGTGACCTAGAGATGACAATATACACTACAGTCTCCCGCTCTACCAACTGAGCTAAGATCGGAACCATGCTTATGTCAAGCCCCATAATTGTTGATGGTTCTGATGTTTCTCTAAGCCACCACTACACATTTTTGGAGTACAGATGAACTACATAGTATGAGTTGTAGCCCAAAACGTTTTCTTTGCAGAAAGAAAAAAATTCTTTTTTTTTTTGTGGCTGTGGAAAAATTTTTTTATTTTTTTTTGGCTGTGGATTTTTTATATTTTTTTTTTTATTTTTTTTTTGGCGGCGTATTTTTTTATTTTTTATTGTTTATTTTGTTTTTTTTTTTTCTACTTATAAGATTTT